ATAATTATAAAAAATATATAAATTATCTTATTTAATATTTTTATTATTATATATATATAAAATAAGAAAAATGTTAAATAAGATTATATATATATATAAACTATGTTGTTTACTTGTACTTAGCTTTTTACTTACATAATCATCTATACAGGACTTCATTTTGTTATGAAATATTTAGTAATATTAATAAAATATATAGTAATAATTTAGTTATTTTTTTTATATTATCAAAAGTGAAAATTACTATAAAATTTTTAATCTATATTTTTAATTATTATTAAATGTAAGTAAAATATTTTAAGATATTTACTCAAATCTAAGGTTGAGGTAATGTTAAGAATTAAAGAAATAGTAATAAAATATTGCATAAAAAATTAAAGTTAATAAAGTAAATTTCAGGGTTTAAATTTAATTAAAAATTAATAATTTTTATATGGTTCCAGATTAATAAAATATCTAATTATAGGACGATATCTAGTTTCTTGGGGTTTACAAATGTTTTAGATATGTTTCATTCAACTGAAACAATTTGCATGACAATCTTACAATGAAAAAGAAATAAATAAAATGTTTTTCACACTTCAAAAAAACTGATAACATCAAATTCCAAATTATGAACTTTGGTAAAAAAAATTTTTTCTACTGTTGACACATTTTTACATAGGGCAAGGTAGTGATTACTACAAACAGTATCTCCTGATATCTGAATTACATCTTTATATATCTACTTTATTTTATATAGTAATATTACATTCTTGTTCATAGTTATAAGTATATTCTGAAAATTTGTGATTTCCTAATCAAATGTAAATTAGTGTAGTTTGATCAATTGAATCAAATATATTTTTAAAAAATTCAGGCAATAAATTAAATTGAATAATTTTTTTAATTCAAATATTGATTTCTAAATGTTCATTATTGCAAAATAACAGTGAATAAAATTTAAGTAATAAAAAGTGCTGTCACTTTTCTATTTCTCAATAATTATCACTTAATTTAAAAACTAATTGCCAAATTTATTTACATTTCACCAAGAAATCACCACCCCTGAATATTTTATAAAATATTTCTGGACATCCTGTAAATGATTATTTCATGAACTATTTTCAAATTAGGTAAACATACTATTGTAAATTACAAGAAACACAACTGTTTCTTCAGGTAACCAAAAATTTGTTTTAAACCAAGAAACTTTTCGAGGTGCCTTGCATCATCATTGTCTCAAACAGATTATTATAAATATTCCATCTACAAGCTAAACATTAGCCTAAGGCAAGCCAATAACATTTTGTTTTAAAATAGTTTTTGCAATCTAAAAAAATAGATTATATTTAATATTTCTTAGAATTCATGAAGAATGTTAGAATGTATGCCATCTTTGTATTATTATGAATTATGTTATTTTGTATAAATTATTTTGTTAAAAATTTTACACATTATTTAAAGTATATTCCATTGTTATTTTATACACAGGATATATAATAGCACACTTATTTTAATATTAAAAAGTTACCTCTATAGATGAAATGATTTAAAAAGAACAAAAAATTAAAACACTAAGACTTATAGCTAAAAGAAAAAATTCAAATGAACCATAAAATCAAAAGCAATTTAATATATATCCTAAGCTAAACATTAAATACCAGAAGTCAAATATATCAAATCACTCAAACAAAAAGAAACTTTTAACAGATAATGTAAGTTTAAGAAATCTAATAAAAATAACATTCATACAATTGCTATAATAATAAATACTGGAATATATTACATTATTAAGTTAATTATAAATTAATGTATCTAGCTGTTTCTTTGATATAACACAATTTCAAATTATCTCAATAATATCCTCTATTTTTCATTACCATATTTTACAATACAAAAGCCAATTTATGTAAAGAACTTCAATATGCACAATTGCAATGTTTTCATTTTTTCTAATTGCATGTAAAATAATGCTTTAATAATACTTAACAGTACAAATTATTAAAAAGGAAATATTGTCAAAATTAATGTGTATATAGATAAAATATTTCATGATAGGGCTATTCTATAAAGTGGTATGCAAAACTGAAATTTTTTCACAAATTAAAAGTAATAATAAATAAATAAAATTTTGATTTTAATTTTTAAATCATATTAATCCTTATTTTATTCCTTAGATTTAAGTAAATACATTATAAATAAAAAATAAGTGTAGCATTGGAAAGCAAAACCTCTAACAATCAGTAGATCTATGCATTTTAGGGTGCTGTACAATATTTTTAAATAATTAACGAGCAGATTTTATAATTTTGTTAATAATCAACTGTTAATAAAAATTTTAAAAACAATTTTATATTCCTTTACAGAATATTTATCATTTTCATGAAAAATTTAAGTAAAATTATGTAATATTTCTGTATTTATTCGGTATATCAAAACATTAGCCAGGCAGGTTAGTTTATAAAGCTCATAAACAAATTAAAATAATAAAAAAAATAAATATGAAATCTTATATGATACTTACCTTCAGCTCAATTATTACTAAAATAAGCTTAAACATTTATGAAAGATTTGAATAGCTCAAACTACTTGTACAAAAAAAAAATATTTGCACCCCTTTACTGCATGACCTCATCAATTGGTAGAGGTTTATCTTCTAAAAAATTATTTGAATTTCAATTTTAGAATTTACAGGTCATAACTAATAATGGATTTCTAATCAATTATATATATATAAAGTTTTTATTTCATTGAATATAATCCTTACAAATAGTAAAGAAATATTACTTATCAAGAATTTCCCTGCAGAAAATTTCTTGGTTGCTGCAAAAAACAACCAAAATTGTAGATGTTAAACTAATTTTAGAAAATGTCTATTCCTGGTCAGAAGGTATGAAATAAAATTATATAGATACATATTATATATTTACATATTAAAAAAAGAATAAAATAATAATTTCTATAACAACCTAATAATAATAATAATAATAATAATAATAATAAAAAATACAGACTTTTTACAACCTCTATCAAATATCAGACCCATGCAGTAAAGGGCATACTTATTTGGATAAACCAAAATATTTATTTTCATGCTAATTCTAACTGTAACTTATAAGAAATAACAAGCAGAATTTTTATCAATCATCATTCAATCTCACCTATTCTTCTACTGTCACTAAAATCTGGTTCTGGCTCTGCATATGGACGTAATTCATCATCTTCATATGCAATATTCATCCATTTATCCTTCATGATAGTCTGCAAAAATAATTTTTTCAACAATATATTTGCAAATTTAAAATTTTTATTAAATTACATTAGAATTAAATTACTGAAAATTAAGAAATATGAGTAAATTTCTCTATCTATAACTTTTTTTATTTAATGAAATAATATACAAAAAGTCAAAATAAAGAATTCATTTTCTAAAATGCCTTTTCTGTTTTATTTAAATCTTCATCAATTTAAAAAAAATCATTTAATTCATACATTACAAACAATATTTAAAATCAAGGTAATTGTACAAAAAAAAATATATTGTACTTATATTTTTTATACAAACTTCACTTTAACAAAAATTTCCTCCTATCACTAGTCTGCAGAAAAATCAATAAAAAGTTTACTTTCTTCCTTTTAACAAAAAATTTTAAAAACTGCAAAAGTATACTAAATTCAACAATTATTTATTGTGACATTGTCACAATGCAGGGCTGCAATTTTTTTTATCATATTTTTATTTTATTTTATTTAAAATATATGCTTGCTACCTCAAATTAGTACTAGTAATGTCTTGCCCCAGTACTTTTTCATTAGCAATCAAGTCATGCTGGTCATCTATCTAACTCCTTTCAGGGGAAAATTTTTGAACTGAAATAAAGTGACTTCCAGTTTGCATCATAAATTCATACATAGTTAACTGGATCTCCTGTCCCTGAGCTTCCCATATCTGAATTTCATTTATCTAACAGTGTTCTTGAGATTAAGGAAAGACAAACAGACTGACGACAGTGAAAATTTAAAAGTCTACAATTTTTTCAAATTGCAGCCCAATATATTATATTATTCCCTTTGATTATACACTATTGGTTTTGTATCTGCAATGTACAACTATTTTATGCTAATCATATGTATATAATATAATGGTCAATTATTCTTCCTTGGATTTTAAAATTTTATTCCAAGTAAAATAAATTTAAACAACTACCACAAAACTAAATAATGTAGTTAAAATTCTGAACAATCTTGATTGTTATTTGATTTATAAAAATATTAATGTTCAAAGAGTAATTTAATAAATAAAATAAACCTTTGAAAGACAGTATCCATTTTTAATTGCAAGTTATTGGTTAATTTTAGATAAAATTTATCAAGTTACTGTTAATTTTATTCTCATTAACTGTATGGTATTTTCTATTTAATTCATTCATAATGTATTTTGTTACTTTGAATTTAAATTTATTCTGTAACACTTGTAGCAATGTTCGACATTTGAATCTGATGATAGCTACTAATGTAGCTGAAAACATTTATTAAGAAGTCAATACAGTATTTTAAAAGATTGTTATTTTTATCTTATCTGTTTTATTAATTTTAATATTCAAGAATAACACGTCTTCACTGCTTTTCTCTTCAGTAAATCACTAAAAATAAACTTAAATATACAAATATTATTTAAAGTCATTAAAAGTAAACAGCCAAACAATTAAATTACCAATCTAAAACTAAAATTCCATTTATCAAGTCTTTAAGAAAATGAAAAACCTTAACTATTGCTCAGTTGTATAAAAACATACTTAAACATACAGTTGACCCCCCTATAACAGAGTAGATATGTTCTGGTTTCTATGAATCCATTTTCTACGAGTCCAGCCAATCACAGCCTGGCACGTATGTAGTTTACGAACTACAGCTGTTTGAAAGGTTTTCTTCCATAAAATTAATCGATTCTAGACTAATTTGACTCAACATTTCCAAAATACATATAATTTTTTGGGAATAATCCATATAAAGTATGCTATAAACAAAAAATTGTAGGATTACTTACCGAGCATGCACCATTCAATGATGCCATTGCTTAAGCTTGTTTTCGTTGTGGAACTTGTCATCGAATGGCGCTCGCGTGCTTCCTGATAAATTATTTTTTTTGCGAAAAATTTGCTGAACTTTGGAGATATCATTAATATAAATATAATTTTTATGGACGTTAAATAATAAATGGTTTTTAGTAGGTCCGCTGCTCATTTAAACTCAACAGTTTGTACAATATCCTCTATTGGTCTAGATTTGACCAATCCTGTCTCGACACGAGTCAGCGATGATGTTTTACCGAATTATAGGAGTTTTTTTTACCATGTTTGTATGAATACTGTTGCAATTTTCGCCGTGATATAGGAATCCAAACTATAGAAACCCATGTTATAGGGGGACGACTGTATATCATTAATACTGATTTTGTTTAATAGTGCATCTATGTATATAATATTTTCTAACAAACATAACTAAATTTCTTACATTACACTTTGATCTTATCTGAAAAAACCATAATTATCAAAAAACAGAAATTCTAGATATATGAATCATTTCATTGTTTATTACCAATAATAAACAATGAAATAATTTTTATGTGATTCCAGATTATCAAATTTTTCAGTTTTAAAACTGAAAATTTAAGTTTATTGATAAATATGTAGGAAATATTGATTTGTTGGATTAAAAGGCAGTTGTACAGGGGTTTTCCAATAAGAACAATAGAACTTTAAATTGAAATAAAATGAAAACTACAAAAGAAAATTTAGTGCTAATTTTAATTTTATAGTATATTTAGTGAGATTACACACGAAAAAACAGTATCATTTAAACGATCACATTATTGCAGCTGACAGAGTGAATACATTTAACTCAGTTTTTAATGATTCTGGCATATAAATCTTGCCATCATCATCATTTTATGGTTTATTGGAATAAACAAGTGATTTAATGTGACCCCATAAAAATTAATTCAATGGAGTTAAGTTGAAAGATGGTAGTGGCCAGTTAACAGCTACATTTCTCAAAATAATCCTGACAAATTCATCTTGGCATATGTGCATCAACAACTGACCCAGTTTCTTCAATTTAAAATCAAGGTAATTGTACAAAAAAAAATATATTGTACTTATATTTTTTATACAAACTTCACTTTAACAAAAATTTCCTCCTATCACTAGTCTGCAGAAAAATCAATAAAAAGTTTACTTTCTTCCTTTTAACAAAAAATTTTAAAAACTGCAAAAGTATACTAAATTNAATGGAGTTAAGTTGAAAGATGGTAGTGGCCAGTTAACAGCTACATTTCTCAAAATAATCCTGACAAATTCATCTTGGCATATGTGCATCAACAACTGATCCAGTTTCTTCAATTATTTTATTATTATTAAAAACAATGTACCAAGAATTCTGTTGATCAAAAATTGAATGAAGGACACAAAACATTGACCAAATTGAACAAAAAGTTTGATAATAAGTTTTAATAGTTTTAACATATTCAGGAACTATAGATCTTTCCATGATGATTTGCCAAAAATCACAAAACAGATATGTAAATTATCCTGACAATCCAATAAAAACTAAAATGTCTGTAACAGTTCTATTGCTCTTACTAAAAAACTTTGTTATATATCCAGTAATTTGAATTAGCTTAAATACAAATTTAATGATAATGTATAAAACATCACTATTTAATCTTCAAAAAATCTCAATATATAGTATTTTTAATGTATAAAGTTTATTTGACAAATTTATGTTAAATTTAATTTGCTGTAAAAATATTTAAAATCCATATTTTTTTTATTTTGCTTTGAATATGGCTCAACATCCCTCTTATTATTGAATAATAATTAATGGGCAATAATCTCATTATCAAACTTTTGCCAGAACATGAAAAAACTTCTATTAAACAAATCAGTTAGGGGATTTTTTACTTCAGTCTATTCAGTTGACAAAATGTTAAAATAAAATCAAGTAACAAATTATGTAAATTTGGCAAATAATTTTAAATTTACTATGCTTTTAGTAACATATGAGCTCCACATTTAAATTAAAATTTAATAATAAGGAAGATTAAATATGATAAAAGTTTATTTCTAATGCCAATTAGGATTTCATTTAATAAAAAGTTTGTGAAATTAAACGAAAAATCTACATCAATCTAAATTTTGAAATCACTGAAGTCTTCAAATGTGCAGATTAATTGGTTTTTAGTCATTTTATACTTTTTTTTAGTTCAATTTATTATCATTCAATTAACATATCTGTTTTAACTAAATGGTGATTTCTTAAACCAATAGAATATTTTTAGTCAGTACTTTCTTCAAAATTATTTTCATTTAAAAAAAAAATATGCAATATTTTAAATTTAGCAAAAAAATTCACATAAATACTAAAAATAAAATACAAAAATAAACACACACACACACACACAAAAAAATACAAAATAAAGAATGTAAAGTGTGTATTATTTTCCATAAAAATTAAACAAGAGAAAGTTGTGGTGTGGCATGATTACCAGAGATTTCAACAATACTGTTTGTTGACAAGTCTCAATAAGAACAATCTTTACTGACTAAAGGTGGAGAAAGTGCACTTCAATTCTCTCAAAAATGTCTTAGAAATGCACTTTCTCCGTTTGCTGAATAAACAAGGCTCATCCACACAAATAGTTTTATTGAAATCTCTAAGAACTATGTCATAACCTTTGTCCGTAAGATATATTTTAGTTCTCTCAGTATATTTATAATAAAAATTAATGAATTTTTTAAGAAACAGGAGCCCTCAACAGTCTGGCAAGCCCAGCCAACCACTTTCTTCTCCAAATTAAAATTTGCTTTGAAAGAGAGACAATTTTAGTCAATTTCAGAAAACCAAGAAGCTGCACAGAGGTAACTAAACAGCATTCCAAAAACATCCCTTTATGAGGTTATATAAAAATTACCAGACTGTGCAAAAATTTGTATAGGTCAGAGAGGAATAAATTTTGGAGATACTAAATTAAATCATTTTTGCCAAAAAATTTTTTTATAAATTTAGTCTCTGAACTTAGATACACCACATATTATGCTTAGAAATAACATATTCTAAATAATGTTATGTATCAATTTGATGCAAATGACATTATTATATCTAATTTAAACACAAACTGCTAGTTTCAAATATATTGTGAAAGCAATGTAAATTTTCATATCTATGTAAATTTTAAAAATATTTGAAGAATAAAGAACATGTGAATACTCAATAAAGTATAGTAAATAATGTAGCACAATAGTTTATCATTATCGATTTTGTTACTTACATATACAGTAGAGTGTCGTTTACCCGAATCAATTGGGGACTGGGGTTGTTTGATTAACTTAATTTTCAGATAACCAATTATGTACGAAAAATATATTAACCTATCCCGTGTTGAAATTTTTCTTCGTTGCGCGTTGCTTTGCGTTGAATTTTCGTCAATGTTAAGCCTTACGTAAATTTTTATAATAATAATCGTGGCTATTGTATCATTAAAAATTATTTCTTTATTTTGTACAAACAAAATAAATATATTGAAAAATATAAAAACAAAAAACTTATATTTTATAAGTTAATCTAGTATCAAAAATGTTACATTCAGCACGACACACAGTCCTCAGAAAAACACCACATAAAAGTGTCAGTGCTGCCAGCTAAAACACATACACCAACAAAAAAATATTGGAGTAGCCCAAGATATAGCCAAAGGTTGCAGCGCCACAGCACTAGTGGAAATTTAAATTTGCCGACTGGAACACTTTCGGTTGACCGGCTTTTGGATAAACGATGCTCTACAGTACTATATTTTGGCCATAATTTAAACTGCTGTTTTGCTAGTAATCACATAAATAATTCAAATATTTTTCAAAATCAGTTTCAAAATTAAAATGTCTATTAACAATTCACTCACCTCAAGTGATGCTCTTTTTGCTGGATTCAATACTAAAAATTTCTTTAATAAATTTTCACAGTCAGTAGACATGTAAAAAGGTATTCTGTATTTCCCTCGTAAAACACGTTCTCTTAATTCCTAAATTAAGAAAAGTAACTATGAAATTTACTTCCATGAAATTCACTTAAATATAAATGCTTTTTAAAAGTTATTATTGTCACTATATATATGTTCATGATTTAGGTAGAAAATATAACATCTAAATAAAAAAAAATTTTATGCTGACGTCAAACACAAGTTTGGAAGGTATATGTTTTAAAAGTTAAATTCACATTTTGTGTTTACAATTTTATCTTAACTCTGTTTCTTTATAATTAGGAGGAAAGTTTACATAAAAATCATAATTTCCTTCAATAATGGCATACTTTTTGTATTTTTACATCAAGTATGTCATATTTAAATACAAATATGTCCACATGAGCATTCTGTTAGTAGAACGCATTGTCTTAGTAACAGTGTTGTTAGTTATTCAAGATTTCAGACAACATTTTCAGTGAAGCTGTTGTGCGACATTTTATTATTTTTCTTGTGAATCAAAATGTCAAATTGACTGAAATTTTGTGAAGAGACAGTCCAGTTTAGAGAACAAACTCTGAAGAAAAACACAGATATGTGATTGCTTTAAAAAATAGTGCAAATTTGTCTGAGACAATGTGGAAAGGAGAAATCAGCTGCCACAACTGTGATTGATGCTAATATCAAATGTGTGGAGAATCTCATCTTAAAAGTAAGTAACTGTTCTTATAATAGTGAAACAAACATCCATAAGTATTGGAAATATTGGAAAAAACTACAAAAGTGTAGTTTTTTCCAACATTCCAACAAGAAGTCTGAATCATAAAGTTGTCTTCAAACTACCTAACAAAAGGGGATTCCAAAGAACTCATTCACAGAAGTAAAAGTTTATTTCTGATCAGAATTGCTTAACCATTTTTAAAAAAAAAGTCTTTTCTGGAATACAGTCAACTGTGAAGAGACATAGATACGTGCCTCATCACAGGTTTATTACATGGGTGAGATATGGATACAAGACTTATCACACCAAAATAAGAGACATCCAGCATGGAATGAGAGCATAAATCCCTTCCACTAAGAGAGTTCAGAGACATTCTGTCAGTAGGCAAAGTCATGACATCTGTCTTATGGGTTCATGAAAGGGTTATCCATACTGCCTTTTTACCAAAATAAACTCAATAACTAGTAAATACTGCTGTGGTGTTTTGGATTCTGATTATAGAGAAATTTGCAACAAACTATGTGATTTGTTGTCAAAAGGTGCAATTTTCCTACAGAATAATATGCAGCCACATACTGCCCAGAAAACCAGGGAAAGATTGGAAAACATTCAATTTGGAAGAAGTCCTTAGACATTCCATTTACAGTCCCTATTTTGTGTCTTCAAAATTTCATCTGATTGGTCCACTGAAGGAACACTTGACCACTAAATTATTTCAATCAGAAGATGAGCTTAAAATGTGTATGTTTTAAAAGTTCAGAAATCAAGACAAATTGATGCTGTCAGATTAACACATAGCTATATTGATGAGAGAAATGCAGTGATGTAAATAGAAATTACATTTAAAAACAAGCAATTATTTATTATGACATTGTCACAATGCTTGGTTGCAATTTTTAATCATATTTTTAGTTTATTTAATTTAAAATATATGCTCTCCACTTCTAATTAGTGACTTGTCCCTTTACATCATACTTTTCCTTTAACAATAGAGTTGTGCCAGTCATCTATTAACTGCTTTCAGGGGAAAAATTTTAAATGGAAATCATGTGACTTCTGGTCCTGTAGATAAAGGAGAAGATGGTAAACTTGAGAAATGAAAGATTGTGGCACTACACACAACATGAAAGTAAACTATTGCCTACTTTTTTCTATACGCGAGTCTGTCTGCCATTGAAACACTAATGAACATGCCAAATAGTTTAAAATGAGATTTCCATGACATTGTAAAGCCTTGCTTTGTCCAAATAATACTAAAAACTGCTCGTCGTCATTCCTTGCTTTTCTGAAAAATGATAATAACCAGTAAGTTTGTCATTACTTTCATTTTAACATGACTTGTATTCCTACACATGATATTTATTTTATACTCTATTATCTTTATTCGGTATTGTTTTTTTCTGAGTAAATATTCAGAAGAGCTTTCTGTGGATTTTTAATAAAAAAGTCCAGGAAATTACTCTTATCGACTGGGAAGTGAACTATTCAGTAGTTTTCTTTCTTTCTATACTAGATTGATAAAGTGGATGATAAACATTGAATTGAAACCAGACCCAAAAAAGGAAGTCTTTCTTTGTAGTGAACATTTGTAGTGTATGTTAGTGATGATGTATGTCATTACATGGTGAAAATTTATTTTTTTGGACTGAAGTAATTACTGTTTAATATAGTATTTGATGTACCAGGTGTATAAGCTTAAATCCGCTGTTTGCTAATAGATGGCGTAAGCGAGCGTATTAAGTTACCATGACAACGCCATATTGTTTTTTTTTTTTATGATTTTGACGTCTGTCAACATTAATCAGTGCACATCATCAGATATTTCATACAACAACATATATTTTTTTTTTTGTAATCATGTCTACTTTTGTGCCAGAAAAAGAGCATATGCGGCAACCTTTGCTTTTCTGCTTTAATTTGAAGAAATCAGATGCCGAAGCACATCGAATGCTTGTGGAGGCTTATGGAGACAGAGCTTTATCAGAAACCAAGTGCAGAGATTGGTTTCGTCAGTTCAAACATGGAAATTTTTACCTGAGCGACAAGAAGCGTGAAAATCGGCCCAGGAAGGTTGAGTTGGATGAGGACGATACCCAATCGCAAAAAATGCTTGCCGAGCAATTGGGTGTTACTCAACCAGCCATTTCCATGCATCTACGTGCCATAGGAAAGATTCAGAAGATCGGAAAATGGGTGCCATATGAATTGAATGATAGGCAGATGGAGCGACGCCAAAACACATGCGAAATCTTCCTCGCCAGACAAAAAAGAAAGTTGTTTCTACATCGGATTGTAACTGGCGACGAGAAGTGGATATATTTTGAGAATCCTAAACGCAAGAAATCGTGGGTTGATCCAGGCAAACCATCAACATCTTTCCCAAGACCAAATCGCTTTGGACGGAAGACAATGTTGTGCATTTGGTGGGATCAGCAGGGTATTGTCTACTATAAGCTGTTGAAACCTGGTGAAACTGTCAATGCTCACCGCTACCACCAACAACTGAAAAAGTTGTTGGTGGTAGCGGTGAGCATTGCACTGTGCTCTGCGTGAAAAAAGGCCGTATTATCAGCAAAGACACGACAAGCTGATTTTCCTCCACGACAATGCACCATCACCAACATTGGTCCGAAACTACTTGGAGACACTCAACTGGGAGGTGCTACCCCATCCCGCTTATTCACCAGACCTGGCCCCTTCCGACTATCACCTCTTTTCATCGATGGGCCACGCTCTTGCTGAGTGGCACTTCGATTCTTACGAAGACGTCCAAAAATGACTTGATGAGTGGTTTGCCTCGAAAGAGAAGAAATTTTTTTGGCATGGTATCCACACATTGCCCAAGAGATGCAACAAATGTGTCACTAGTGAGAGAAAGTACTTAGAAAGCAAAAACAAATTTATTCAAAGAAAAAAAACGTGTGTTTTTCTGACTAAAAAACAGCAGATTTAAGCTTATACACCTATGTATACTGTACTTATAGTACCATGTACTATAAGTATTACTAGAATACAAAGAAGCTACTTGTACTTATAGACAATGTACTTGTTTTTTTACTCCACTGTCATAACATTGTACAGTCGACCACCCTATAAGACAGTAGATACGTTCCATTCTTTAGGAATTGATTTCTTATGAGTCCATCCAATCACAGCACGACACATGTCAAGTTTACAGACTACGGCTGTTTGAAAGGTTTTCTTCCATAAAATTAATCGATTCTAGACTAATCCAACTCAACATTTCCAAAATACGTATATTTTTTAAAAAATAATCCGTATAAACTACGCTATAAACAAAAAATTGTAGGATTACTTACCGAGCGTTCACCATTTGACATCGCCGTTGCTCAAGCTTGTTTTCGTCGCAGAACAGCGCAGCAAACTGCGGGCGCGATTTCTGAATTTATTTTTCTGCGAAAACTTTGCTGAACTTTGGAGACATCATTAATATAAATAATTTTTATCGCCGTTGAATAAGAAATGTTTCTTTCACAAGAAATGTATAAAATTACAGTGCTGTATTAGACTTACGGTACCTAATTTACATACTGTACAGACGATAGTTGCGTAAAAATCTCCGTAGCGTGGCGCCACGCTAG